ATCTCATACCATATAACGTGAGTAATACCAAAACCAAAATAAAGCAAAATTGCTTTATTGTAAACTTATAAAATCCATTAATATTTAGTATGATAGTAAAATAGGATAATAGGGTAATATGGCAGGATAAGAAAAAGGGGAAGATTTCTGTTTCAACATGAAAAGAACTATTAACAATCTTCTGATATCAAGTAGTGCTTAAGCATTCAAATATTGAATTCAGTATTTTAAAGTTAAAACTCCAATTCCAGCACTTCTTAGCTGTAAAAATTTGGGCAATTTGTTTACTTTGTCATTTATCTGTTACTTTTTCATCTGATGAGAAGACATAATAATAGTATTCATGGGCTTCTTGTGAGTTATTGAAGTAAATATAACCCCTAACACAGTGCATGACATATAATAAATACTAAGTGCTAGCTCCTGTTAGTATTGAATGGAGAAAGAGCTTTCAGAAGTAGTAATGTTGGTTTTCTCTGATCCCAAAGCAATATAGTGGCTTTGTAGTGCAACTGATTGTTTAAATATTAAACTGGCTAAAAAGTGAGCAAAATTACCAAGCTTCCATAGGGGCTAATAATGTGATTCTAACTGTATGTTATGTCACAGGCATGATAGCACCTGTGGTTCCAGCTACTTGGAAGGCTGAGGCGGAAGGATTGCCTGAGCCCAGTAGGTTGATGCTAGGGTGGCTGTGAGTGTGCCACTACTCTCCAGCCTGGGCAACGGAGTGAGACTCCAACTCAAAAAAAAAGATTTTTTTCTTTTAGCTAATTTTTTTTTTTTTTTGAGTTTATAGAATAGAATACCAGATTCACAGTGTAAATAATCTATGCTATTTTTATTTGCTGCATAGGATCCTGAATATAATGGGCAGTCAGTAAATATTTGAAAAATCATTCTGAGACATTCAAGCAAAGTATAATTTTAAGACTATGTTAGATAATACTTCTATTTGCAGAAATTGAGAATTGCTACCACTATTAGGTGGCAGAGTGAATGATTAGTTAATGGGATTATAATCTATATTCTTATGTAGCTTCAGTTAGAAATTTTTAGACTGTAATAACTTTTAATAATAAATTATTTGAAATTTTTACCTCCATAATAATTTAGACTTGAAACTATGGCTATGATCTACTGCAATGCCTTGAAAACAAAATGGAAAAATAATTTCCAGGTAGATTAGTTGCTAGAGGCAATATTAGAAGCCAGGTCTCCTAATTTTGAGGTCAGAATTATTTTTGGCTTTTTCTTTTAATGTCTGTCTATCTTTAATCATAATGACATTATTTGATAAAATATTCAATTATTTATCATTGTCTTTCTAACAACAGTAATAAATAGTTTGTAAGATATCTTGGGATTTCAATTGTTCTGCTTCAAGTATCTGTTAATTTTTTTACACATTTATAATAAAGGATTTTTCCAAGTTATATTTTATAAGGAAAATAAATTCCAAGGTATATTTAATAAGGAAAATAGTAAGAGTTTGATATTTTATATTAAAGTATCTTATTAACGATAGATTATAAAGCTCACAGATTATTTAATTTAATAGCAAAGCTTATTCTATTAGTTTTGAAAACAGAAAATGATACTGTTTCAGTTAAATGAATTACAGAACTTTCATTTATTTTCTAGATAATATATTATGCCCAAATATTTACAAAACTTAACTTGGATTAAAAAATGCAAGTAACATAATCTATTTGAAATTCCCAGATTTTTATGTAAGTAATTATTCTGCCACTATCTGCTAAAGATATATATTCTGAATTATCATGTGTCCATAGTTATTTCATTTCTAATAATCCTGAAAAATGATGTATTACTTTGGTTTTCTCATGTCCTTTGAAGTTGATTATATGAGATTAATTGAAAGTATCAAGAGTAGTCTATAAATGAGAAACTTCTTTGAAATGTAATTGAGAACCTTCTTTATCACATCAGATGAGTTCCACCTATTCTAAAACTTCTATTATTCTTTTTGTTATCAAATATTGTGGTTGCTTTCAAGGTCTACAGAAATTTTAGGAATAGATGCTAGAATGGTATTTTTTATATAAAATTAATTTTTTTTTTTTTTTTTTTTTTGAGTTGGAGTCTCACTCTGTCGCCCAGACTGGAGTGCAGTGACCGCTCCCGGCCACCGCAGCCTCAACCTGCTGGGCTCCGGTGATCCTTCCGCCTCAGCCATCCAAGTAGCTGGAATTACAGGCATGCGCTACTACGCCCGGCTGATTTTTTGATTTTTTGTAGAGATGAGGTCTCGCTGCTCAGGCGGGTCTTGAGTATATGGCAATCCACTCACCTCAGCCTCCCAAAGGCGCGGGATTACAGGCTGAGCCACCGACCCCGGTTCCTAAAAGTTTTAATTTAGCTGTTTGCTTTTTCCTGAAAATATTTTTCTAAGAAGCTTGGTGTTCTTATTTATGTAATTATATCCAATGTATAGAGCGGTATTGAAATGAAGACTTTTAAGAAAGAAAGACCATGTCCAACAGTCCTCCTCTAATAACTTGAAATCATAATCAAGTTTACACTGAACTAGAAACATTCAGATCTTATGGAAGTTAAAAAGGAAAAGTCAAGTTTAAAGGGATGCAACATCCTAGTTGTTGTTTTTTGATCTAGTATTTGCAGAAAACTGAGAATTCATCAGTTACAAAGATAATATCATGCAGAAATGTTTATAAGGTAAAGCTGGTAAAGATCAGTTATGTAGATCCATGTTAATGACATCCACATAATTCCATTATTTTGCAGTAAACTTTTTATTCATATATTCTTATTGAACATGACATAACAATGAGTCTAACGTTTTTATCATCAGCTAAGGAGACAAACGAGATGCATTAAAAGGTGGTAAAGACACTAAGCAATCCAAATGAGCCTATGTTAAATACAGAACATGTACTTTTGGCCAGTAGTTTCCAAACCCAGGCTGCACAGTATAGTTACCTAGACAATCATTTAATAAAAATGCAGACTCCCAGATCCAATATGAATTTACTGACCTAGAAATTCTATTACTTAAAAGCCTATATTTTGAGGGGGGGAAAAACTCTTCTTGTGATTCTGAAGTGTAGAGACCCAGTGTATGAGTATACGGTTTAATCCATAACCATTGCATAAGTATGCTTAGGTAGCTGGGATAATGTGGAAACCTTTGTAGAGGAGGTAGATGTGAGACTGTGTTTTTAAAAGTGGCAAGGTCTTTTGGAAGGGACTAATACTATGAGCACAATTGTACAAGTGGGAATAGATATTGCATGGATATTATTAGTTTATAAAAAAACAAATTATTTTTAATGGGGTGAGGTAGAAAATAAGATTAAAGATGTAGATACATGCCAGCCTAAATATAACAGGGTACTAGACTTTATCTTGTAGATAATGTTGAACTTAATAACCAAAGATTTTTGTCAAAGGAGATTATATAATTAAATAAATTTTGAAAGAATACATATTCAATTAATGTATGCCATTCATTGTAAGACTGAGGATTAAAGACAAATTGAACAATAGTACATTAGACTTGAGGTGTGAGGGTTTGTGCAAAATGCTTCTTGTGCAAATGAAAATAAGAATTGACAGCAAAGAGAATGCAATCCTAAAACTGACTTGATTAAAAAAAGGGAAAACAAACATTAAAACTTATATGTCTGCATACTTAAAAGTTGACGAAAAGATTTACCAATTTTAAATTATAATAGTATATACTAAGATAATTTATTTAAATAATTCTAATGTAATTAATAAATCTCTTTAGCAAAACACAGCTAAATTTTTTGGTTTCAAACATAATATGCCTGGTAAATTAAATCATCATTTTCAGAAACACAAACACAATCCCTCTCTCATGTATAATTTTAATATCAAAATAATTATATTTTCTCAAATTAGCACCAGTTTATTTGTGTCACAAATTAAATCTAATGTGTGTGTGTGTGTGTGTGTGTGTGTGTGTATACACGAAACCAAGAAGCTTCCCTAGTAAAAGACTATTGTACATCAAATACATTCTTCTTTGAAAATTATCTTACAAAATGAAGTTAAACATTTAGCTGAAATGCAAGAAATCCATTAAAAGTGCATTTTACTAGAGAAATCTAGATTATCAAATATTTATATTACTTTAATACTAATGTCATCTGCCAAGAAACAGCAGTTATTTTGACAACATATCAGGTTGATAAACCATCTTGATATTGTTTATAAACATTTAAGTCCAGCCGGGCTTGGTGGCTCAGCCTGTAATCCCGCGCCTTTGGGAGGCTGAGGTGAGTGGATTGCCTGAGCCCGCGGGTTCGAGACCCGCCTGGGCAGGGAGACCTCATCTCTACAATAAATCAAAAAATCAGCTGGGCGTGGTAGCACATGTCTGTAATTCCAGCTACTGGGAAGGCTGAGGCAGAAGGATCGCCAGAGCCTAGCAGGTCGAGGCTGTGGTGGCCGGGAGCGGCCACTGCACTCCAGTCTGGGCAACAGAGTGAGACTCCAACTCAAAAAAAAAAAAAAAAATTTAAGTCTAGAACATATAAAGCAGATGAGTATATTTAATGTCTAACAAAGATCCAGCTCCAAGAGTGGACATGTGTTCACTCCTAGTCATCACTGACTAAATTAAATAATATAATGAATCAATTATTTGTTGCAAGCTTTGTATTAGACCTTGAAAACTTCCTGCCTAAGCAATGCTGGTGTCATTCACTCTATTTCCCTTCCAGTCATATTCTCCAACTTTCTTTTTCTCCTTTACACCCCTGTGTCCTTCATTATCCAAAGCTCCATCTTAGGTCAGCTAGATGTTCTCAACAGCATTGTGTCCGGTTTGTGAGCATCAATATTTATGGCCTGTGTTTTGTATTGACTGTGGATGTTGCAGCTCATGTTTAATTTTAAGAAATAGAGAGGAAAAGTGACTAACAGACTAGAAAAAGAAAACAACAACAGAAGAAAAAAAAACTTTGGAATAAACCTTGTATTTCTGCTAGTGCTCAATTACCTGTGGCAAAGGAATGCAGTCTCGTGTTATCCAGTGTATGCATAAGATCACAGGAAGACATGGAAATGAGTGTTTTTCTTCAGAAAAACCTGCAGCATACAGGCCATGCCATCTCCAGCCCTGCAATGAGAAGATTAATGTAAATACCATAACATCACCCAGACTGGGTAAGCAGACCAAAAAGTGAATGCTTCTGAAAAATGTAGAAATACTTATGGCTTCTATTTTGCATATCACTTTAAAGTTTGAGAATTGTAAATCTATACCGATTATTTTGGTTCTGACTAAATTGTACCTATTTTAAATTGGTTTAGTCCAAATGATTAGGTGGGTTTAAATAAATTCTAAAGACTAAACTGCTTCGATTTCTTAAGATGTCTACTCAGAGCCAGGTTGGGGAAATACTAATGCCATACCACCCAAGATCACCTTGTAAAGGGTTGAAGAGTGTAACCAGATTTTAAACTCAGAACAATCCCATGGTAGAACTATCAATTAAGCTACTGTCTGTAGAAAGGTGAAGCTATAGTGTAAGCCTTAGATTCCTCTGTGCTTAATAGCCTTCCTCGTGTTCCTTGGTACAAATTATCCTTTGGAAAGACAGAGAGTAAACACTAGCAATCAAGAAGAATGGGTGCATGAATCTATACCACCAAACAAGAGATTCCAGCTTCTTTTTAACTTTTGAAGATATAATGAAATTTTAAAAAATGCTGATAATATATTGATATATACATAGTTTTATGTTATAAAATGCTTTTATATATTCATAATACTTGTTATTTAACCTAATCTATATTCAAGAGGTAGAGTATGTGTTTTAAGTAAATATAGCCTACACTTGCATAACAAACATGAATGTATCAGATTTTATTTCTGTGATAATTAGTAGTTTTTAACAGACTCCTACCTGGCTATCAGTAGGTTAATTATGCTTGACACTTTCAGTTTTAACCTGTGCATATACTCTCCAGGGGAACACTTTGAATCATACAAAATAAGTTTCTAAAATGTTTAAGGTGTTACATTACCAGAGATATTTTTCCAGGCCTAAGGTTCAATTAAATGGAGAAATTTTTTCTTCATGGGAATGCAAAAAATTCTCTTTTTTGAGCCAAATAATTAACACTTCTTAGAAATAATCAGTTCAAGTAGAATAGGACTAATTGAGACAATAAGTTAAGCAATTCTAGAACAGAAGCACTAAATCCATATGTTCCATAACACCATAACCTTTTTCTTCAACAATTACTTGAAGTTTTTGAAATATAATGTGGCAGAAAATAATGGATTGACAGAAGAATTTGTTAAAATTGCATTTTCTCTATTTATTATTTCTTGAAGGTGTGCCCCAAAACATGAAAGCACAATGGTCGTAAAAAAATCTTTTAAAAAATATTTCCAGCACTTTGGGAGACTGAGGTGAGGGGATTGCCTGAGTCCAAGGGTTTGAGAACAGCCTGGGAAACTTGGCGAGACCTCATCTCTACAATAAACCAAAAATTTAGCCAGGTGTGGTAGCACATGCCTGTAGTTCCTGCTACTTGGAAGGCTAAGGCAGAAGGATCGCCTGAACCCAGCAGGTCGACGCTGGGGTGACCATGAGTGTGTCACTGTACTCCAGCCTGGGCGACGGAGTAAGACTCTAACTTAAAAAAAAAAAAATTGAGTAAAATAATCATTTTAGAAAACGATTAATTCTAATATGCAAAAGAAAGAATTGTAGCAGGACTGATTGCTATTTTGCATTCCAGAACACACTATTTTTTCAGAAAACCTGAGGCTAAATCTACATGACCAAATAATCTACAAGTTCTCATTTCAAACACTCTATTGTTATAAATTTCACTCACTTGTGATGATCAGCTTTGGTTTTATAGAAGCCTGAAAGCACTATCTCCTGATATTTTATTTAGATGTGTCTGCTTTCTGGGAAAACTAGGAATGTGAAATAAGTATAAGCATACTTTTATTTTGCTGTTTCTTTTTAATTTCATTTATATAAATACTACTTTTTAATTCACATTCCCATAAAGATGGAAATATTAAGCACACTTATTTTTCTTTTTAATCTTCTATACTAAAATCTAAAATAAGCTAAATTGAAAGCCATGAAATCAAAACTTTAAAGTACATACAATATGTTAACTCTGGGAATTATTTCTTTAATAAGCTAAAAACATCAGTAAAAACAGTATTTACTTTTTTGTTGCATCGAGGTGTGTGTGTGTGTGTGTGTGTGTGTGTGTGCGTGTACGTGAGCATGCTCCAGAAGGCAATATAAATGAGTCAAAGTGAACGTACAGAATCCTCTCACTTAAATGATTGAATTGTGGTTTTACTAATGACATGTATGATGTCTACATGTATTGATTCACTCTGTTTTGTCTCACAGCTGCTCTGACTTTCAAATGCCTGGGAGATCAATGGCCAGTATATTGCCGAGTGATACGTGAAAAGAACCTGTGTCAGGACATGCGGTGGTATCAGCGCTGCTGTGAGACGTGCAGGGACTTCTATGCTCAAAAGCTGCAACAGAAGAGTTGACCTCTAGCAGTCTGGCTGGCTCACAGCTCTTTGCAATTACATTATTTATAAACACACACACTAGCATGTTTTCAGACCAAATATTATCAGATTACATATAATTTAATCAAATTAATTAATTTATTTTTTTGCCTGCCAGACATCCAATGTGGTGCTTGTTTTGGTTATGCAAACATTTTGATTTATACTACATGGCTTCATAAATAGTTTTATATGAAAAAATAAGTTGGATCCAATAGCCTAATTTAAAAAGAAAAAAAAATAGATTATTAGACAAAAAATTTGTTTGTTTGTTAGGGCTGTCTCTAAGGTGCTACTCTCTCCTCACCGATACCATTGAGTTATCCAGAATGTATTCTAACTTAGCATAATAGTTTAGTCATATTTGGAGAGAAATTATTTTGGTTTCTGGTGTCCTGCTACAGAATTAGCTCATTTTCTGTATTCTGCAGGAGATGTGTAAACATAACAAACCTCATAGTGAACAGATTTTTAGAGAATGTATTATGAATTTGGTTCAGATTTAGAGACATCCATAGGAAAAATTCTGCTGTAATTATAACCTTATTTTAAATGATGGAAAAGTCAAAATAGAGACTTTGATCATGTTCATGAACATGTACTTGAATGGAAGTATTGTAACAATGAAACACTGTAATGAAATTACACTGAATCATCATTGCACTGTTGATATAGTGTAGAGAAACCGTTAGAAATGGTAACATCTTACAAAAATATGTATTATTTTAACATATTGTCATTAGATTTTAGCTTTTTTAAAATATTTTGAACAACGAAAGAATTGTTCCACCCATTTCCTTGTATCTTTTTAGCGGAGTTATGAAAGAGTATAGTACTTAGTCTCACAATTCATAAAAAGAAAACTTACTAAATATTTTTCTGCCTTTTTACTAGGAACAAGGAAAAACAAAAACATATTACTGTGGTAGTTTCATTGTGCTTATTTTTCCTTTTAAAATTAAAAAGTTTTACAATTCTGTGAAACGTTCAAAAACCAGCTTAATTTTTTTCTTGTGAGAAAATATTGTACATGATTCACATGATTTCTTAGATTTTTCAATAAAATATGTGAAACTTCCCATTGAGAGGCAATTCTTCATATACTTAGTCACATTTCCACATGCCTTACAAAGTTACTGTCTGCTTTTATTCCAGTCTTCTAAAGGATGCTTGTATAGCTAATCACCTTGGAAGATAGAAGTGATATCTCTATTATTTCTAAATGACAAACATGCTTCTCATTACAAAAACGTCCGGTTTTCTAAAATTGGGGTTTGTCTCTTATAACACAACCCAGTTTGTGTGCTGGTGTGACCTCGCTTTCTTTACCCTGTGGAAATTGAGGCACAGGGAACCATTACAAGAAAAGCTGATTCCCTTATTAATACTATTGCTGTGAGTAATAAAGTCCTTTGTCTCTAACCCAGGAGTCTCATGTCTTCTTCCTCCAAAACACAACAGGCTAACATGATATTTGCAAGTAGTAGAAAACCTCAGAAGCTTCATGGTTCTTTACATGTCCTTTATTAATATTTTTCATCTTTATCTTAATAAATTTATTTTAATATTGGGGGGCATTTTGTTTCTGCACAGTCCCTTGCTGTGTAAATACTTTTAATTGCCAAGATATAAAATTAACCAATATCAACAAATCTTATGTGACATAGTAGGTGAATGGAAGAAGGAAAATTGAAATAGGAAGAAGAGACACTCCCGCTCATATTTTGTGATTCCTGAATCCATGACTCTAGGTACAAATAGCACCATTTATTGATTGATAATTCAGAACTTATATATCTTAGAGGATATTATCTCAGATCTTCAAAGTGTTTTCATTCAGTTGGTTGGTGCCAAACTAAACCTCTTTTTAAAAGGTATTGTACATTTTGTTAGGCCGTCTGCTTTAAGTGATGGGGCTCGTGGTAACACTAGAGATTTGCATGCATTTGAGCCCATTGCCACATTTTCTTTACTTTTATTGTTGTTACTGTTGCTGTTAAATGAGTTCCCTAAACAGAAAAAATGCCATAACAGTGAATGAGATGTTTGTTAAGCCAACAGAGGGTATTTTGGCAGAAGCATTATAGGCTGGAATGACAAAGCCATTTTTAGAGGAAGAGACTATTTCTGCAAGGGCAAGCCACTGCCTCTTTTGTGACAGAGGCAGTAGAATGTAATCAACCTAAAATCAAAGTGGTTGGTTGATCATCCCACAGAATTATATTATATTGTGGACATGTCTTCTCTGTTATTATTAAGTTGAACTCTCAGCATTGACTATAATAGATCTTGGTGAAAGGAAGTTCATGTTGCTGAGCTCATGCATAGTCTCCACTTCTGCCACCACTGTCTCTTTGTTCTTGAGCCCAAGTGAGTGAAAGAGATTAATAAACATTCTCAGAACATGTTATCATGTCCACCTGGTAATCGAAATCCATTTCTGAGGATGCTCTTTGGTGAACAGTAAATGGAATGTAGGTATACAAGCAATTCAAGATCTATCCACATACCTTTTTCCTCAGAACCTCATTGTTACCAGTTTTTGTCATGTTTCCAAGTTTCTTCCAAGCCAGCCAAACAATTAGACATAACCCATGAATTAGTGCATATTTATACCTCTGGAATTTTTTTCCAGGTAAAATAAACAGCCAGAGGTGCACAACTTCAATTCCTTCCAAATGAGAGGCTTTTCCTTACTAGTGTCATTCAGGGTCACCTCTGTGTGGGGTTGTAGAGTTGCAACTCTCCATCCTTGGTTGTGCTAGCATATTGTGAATGACCATTAGGAAACCAAGGCAAAATGTTTTCTGCCTCAGTCTATTAGATATAAGAAGTGCTCTCTGAGACTCTAGGTGTGGGTCGCAAGAGAGGAGGCAATGTAGCAGTAGTAGAACCCTTAACCATCAGATTCACTTGCTTGCAAACTTACATATGCCTTCAGAATGTGCTCAAGACTAATCTTGTACACTTGATGATAGAGTGATGTTCCATGCAGATAATCTGTGCACAGGCTTGGTTGATCAGGCATAACCTAACTTATAATGGGCAGTCCAGGTGCCACAGGAATTTGGCAGTCTATGGTCAAATGTAAAGGATTTGCTAGGCTCTAGTAGCAAACCAGAAATTCATTATCATTCATCAGTAGGTGCCTACCAGAGGTTCCATATAAGATCCTCATGTGTCACTGATTCTTCAAGTACCACGTGCTGTGCCATTTATCCCAAAGAGCAGAGCAGCCTCAATTGCTACATGCACTGATTACAGTCTCCTCTCTTACTCTGTGCATTAATAAACTGGAAGTTGTTGGGTTTACTCAGTAATGTTTCAGAGTAGCATTCCCGAATGAAGTCTATACTGCCACTATAGCCCAACTGGGTTTTGTGTCTCTTTCTTAAAAACGGCCAGAGGCAGGAACTTATCCATCACTTAGACAGAATACCTCAAGGTGCTGCTAAGTTCCTGGATATTTTACCATGGTGTGAGGTCCCCAAATTTTGGGAGGACTAATTCATACTGTCTATCACACATATCATATTAGGGTATTACTGGCTACTACTTCTCCACCAGGTCCAATCACCATGGTTTCATTGATATGGTATACCAGTATAATATCCTATGCAATATAAATAACATGGACCCTGTGGGTTAAAGAGTTGATATAGCCCTAAGATAGGACAATGAACATAAAACTACTATTGATATTTCTTAAAAACTTATTTTTAAAATGTTTTTCCAGGTTCTAGGGGACATATTTATTTATACTGGTAATATATCTGGAACAGTGGTTGAAATTAGAGCTACTATCTGAATATATGTGATAACCTAATGTGATTCTCTAAAATCCAGAATTCTTCACAGAAAATGGAGGGTGAGGGAGAGAGAGAGGGAATTGACTAGATTTGCATCCTTCCAATCCTTAATGGTGGAAGAAATGTTTAAATCCTTTCAGGAATGCTGTATTGTGCTTAGTTTCCAATTGTAATATGTAAAGGTAGTTCTGATGCTTCCATTGATGTTACTTACCATCATAAAAAAGCTAATTCCATAGGTCATTGAACCAACAAAAGGGGAAGGGTTATTCCAGTTTCTGAGTATGTCTATTCTAAATATGCCTTCCAGAATTAGGAAGACAACTGTGAAATAGGTGGGTTCAGGAACTCTTGGACCCACTGTGAGACAGGTATGTCTAAACTTGATCAAAATATCTGACTTCTGTAAGCTCTTGCTCTAACTATGGAGTTACAGGTGCAATTTGGGGTCACCAGAAATTATTACCAGTTCACAACCAGTAATCCAGTAATCACCAAAAAGTTTGGAGAAAGTTTGATTATTTCCCCTTCCCTAATGTAGTCATGTCTTTAAATAGCCAAATTTTTCCTAGAGAAAACTAGGAGGTAGATTTATAAAATGAATTTTGGACAGAGTAGTACAAATCTTTTTCAAAAAGAACTGGCCCCTCCTTCATTTAAAGAGTCCTGGGTCTGCAAAGCATCTCTCCTATGAAAATTGATCATGGGAGTTCTATTCCCTAGTATGGTAATTCAGATAAGACTACTGTTCACTAAGTATAGAGATATAATGTCTATACAAATCAAATAAGACTTTAGTAGAATGCCCATATATTTCAGTCTTCAGGACTAACTGATCAATTTGCCCAAACCAAAATTATTTGCAGGTCAAACCATTCTTGTCATAGTCCATTTGGGATGCTATAGCAAAATAGCTTAGACTAGCTAATTTATAAACCATAGAAATGCATTGCTCACAGTTCTGGAGGTTAGAAAATTCAAGATCAAGGCACCAGCAGATTTGATGTCTGGTAAGGAATTGTTCATCATAAATGCAGACTTCTATTTATTCTCACATGGCAGAAGGGGTAAGGATGCCCCCTTAAAACTCTTTTATAGGAGTACATCTTACTTTCATGAGGGTTCTGCATCATGACCTAACCACCTTCTAAAAGCTCTACCTCTCAGTTCCATTACATTGGGTATTAGGTTTCAACATATGAATGGGGGGGAGTGGGAGGCACCAACATTCGTAACATAGCAATTCCATATACCACTTTGACTCTACTTCTCTTTATGGTAACCTTGCACACATGGCTTCTGGAAGTTAAATTCTGCCATTTGCTTCCTGGCATATGGAATTTATTATCCTTATTATCTTCAGGAAGACAGTTCTATGGCAGCACTTCTGAATATCATTCCTGGCTTTCAGAGAACAGTCACTGTAGAGTTCTTTAAGGATTCCAATCTGCCTTCACCACTGTGGTTTTCAAAGCCTTCTTGATAGGAATGCCCTCTGGTTCCCCTTAGGGGACATCATTTAACAGGTGCTGAGCACATCTATCATATTAAAACCAGTCTTTCTAAATGTGTATGTACTTTCCTCTAACAGCTTATTCCTTCAACCCTAATCTAATACCCTAAGAAACATTTTCATAGAGTCAATATGAATTTGCAAAATTTTGCAATTTTTTGGAAACTCGTGGCACCACCTCACAAGTCACACTTTTTTCCTTGTCCCCTTGGATCTTCCAGGACTTGGAAGATATGGCAGATAATAGGGATAGGTCCTGAGTGAAATCAGCAGTATAATTTTAAAAGATTCTATTGTGTGAAGTACTTCAATACAATAAAGGCCAAATGTGACCAAACCACAATTAACATCACACAGAAACAGGGTAAAGCATAAGAACTGGAAAAAGACAAGAATGCCAACTCTCACCATTCTTATTCAAAATGGTACTGTGAATCCCAGCCCAAGCAATTAGGGAAGATAGAGAAATAAAGGGCATCCACATGGGAATGAAATAAGTAAAATTGTCCCTGCTTGAAAGAGGACCTTATGTTTAGAAAAACCTTAAGACTCTACTAAAAACCCCTTAAAATTGAGTTGTAGGATACAAAATTAACACACAAAAGTTGTAGGATACAAAATTAACATCCAAAAATTATCAGTGTTGCTGTATGTTAACAGCAATCAGTCTGACAAATAAATCAAGAAAGCAATCCCATTCATAATAGCTATAAAAGAATAAAATACTTAGAAATAAATTTAACCATAGAGCTGAAAAATTTCTACACACAAAACTATAAAACACTGATAAAAGATATTGAAGGAGACACACACACACAAAATGAAAAGCCATCCCATGTTCATGGATTAGAAAAATTAATATTTTTTAAAAGACCATACTCCTCCAAACAGTCTACAGCCAATAAAATTCCTATCAAAATACCAATAATAATATTCTTCACAGAAATAGGGGGAAAAAATCCTAAAATGTATATGAGATCACAGAAGACGTTGAGCAGCCACCAAAGTGATCCTGAGCAAAAAAAGAATAAAACTTAAGGCATCACAGCATTAGATTTCAAATAGACTACAAAGCTGTAATAACCAAAACAACATGTAAT